AGTTCAGCAAATCGGGCTGAGAAGATTCTAATCACTGGGCACTGTTTCCAGAGGTGACCTGTGTGTCATTGCACTTCTAGTCTGTGCCAATACCACTGCAAGCATGTTTGGCTGTATAAAAGAGCAATCCTAGCTGGGGAAGTATACTTCCGTTTTCTACCCCCAGAAATAGCGATTCTTGAACAGTCCCCCCAAAACGGATGCTACAATTTCCTTGACCCTCTCCGAAGGAAGAACACAATAATGTTCATTAATAGTGTATTTCAAAGCTCCTGTCAAGAACAGCCAGGAAGTTCTTCATAAAAATCTAAAAACACAAATCCAAGACCCTCAGGGTGAATGTGTGTTACACCTGTTGCCATGTCTCATACCAAGAGAGGCTATGGAAATCTGAGTTTTTCCTTGGGGGTCACAATGAGGTAAAGAGGTGGAAAAAAAGATATTTTCCTATGGCAGTTTCACGTTACTTTCTTTCAGCAACTCAGTTGTGTATTCAGAAGCTGAGTGGCTTGCTTCAGGGTGAGCACGTGTGCAGTTCTGGGCAAGAGAAAAGGGTGCTGGTAATGGGATGAGGAGCAGGAAAACATTGTTGTTCCCATCTGTGTGGTCAGAAGCCAAAGAAACCAACTTGAATAGAAGAGACTGTTCTGTGGTTAATTTGCAAAGAAAAAGAAAGGGAGGGGGGAGGGGAGGGGGAGTTGGAAGAGAGATATGTCAAAGTGTTTTTCATCCTGTTGAAAGAAGAAAGCAAAGGTTGCTGTAAGGATCCACTCTTCCTATTTAACAGATGGCAAAACCAAGGTAGAGAAGAAGGCACCACTTCCTCTGGACTCAAATGGCAAGGTACAAACTAATCACCACCTGAGGACTGAGTAAGCCCACTGTTTCTACAAAAGAGCAAGAAACAAAGGCCAAAGCCTAGTTGCTGGAGCAGAATCACTGACCATCATGCCCTCCCTCTCCTTCCTCCGCTGAAGGCTCAGTAACTACAACAGTAGGACCCTGACTGTCACAAAGTCTAAACTGTGCTCTGTATTATATTTTATTTGTTTTTGTTTTTCCTAAAGACTGAGGACATGGGACAGAGAGGTAGTAAGCCGGAGGGCTCTGCCACAGCCCAGAGTAGCATTTGGATCACTCCTTCATTTCCTTTCCTGAGTTTCAGGGGGAAAAAAAAGGGCAGCCAGTTATTTGAGGACCACCCCATCCAGAGATTAATTCAGGATTGCTAGTGGAGGTAAAGCCATGGCCAGAATTACCACAAGTTACCTTCCAAATTACTGAGCTAGTTTTATTTTTCTGAAGGTCAGTTGCAGGTTTGGGGATATAGGTTTGTGTAACAGGGATCTAGAACTCTGTGCAGACAGAGGGAGAAAGGATATTATTACCAGTGGGAAAGAAAGGAAGGACGGGAGCTTCAAAGAATGAGAAAAAAGAAAGGTAGGAAAGGTGGTAGGTAGGAAAAAAGAAAAAGAAAGAAAAAAATGGAGTTACAAGGTGTCAATTGATCACTTTGCAAAGTAGTAATTTTTCTGTCACTTCAGACATTCAAACAGAGGCAGAACAGCCTCTGTATTCATTTCCTACTGAGGCTAGAACAAAATATCACACGTTTAGTGGCTTCAAACAATACAAATGTATTGCCCTGTGGTTCTGGAGATTGGAAGTCCAAAATGAGTCAAAAATCGGTCTCACTGGGCTAAGGATCAAGTAGGGCTGTGTTCCTTCTGAAAGCTTGAAGGGAAATCCCTTTTTCTTGCCCTTTTTCATCTTCTAGAATATGCCTACATTCCTTCATCCATTTCAAATCCAGCAATGGTTTTTAAAGTCTTTCTTACATCACATCTCTCTGACATTGACTCTTTTCCACATGTGAGGGACCCCTGTGATTACACAGAGCCCACCAGGATAATCTAGGATAAGCTCCCCATTTCACGGTCAGCTGATTAGCAACCTTTATTCCCTCTTGCCAAGGACAGTGACATACTCACAGGTTCTGGGAATTAGGACATAGGCATCTTTGGTGGGCCATTATTCTGCTTACCACAGCCTCTCATTAAGAGTGTTGCAAAGAGACAGGCGATTGGGTAGGCCCTTTAATGTGAAAGCCTTAAGGAATAGGGGGAAAAAAGCTATTTCTCAAGAAAAATTTTGAGGTGGATGAAATCTATTTCCCAGGTAGTGTTTGAGATCCTTCTAGAGCTTGCCCTTCCCTCCTGGCATCTACATGTAAGGCTGGGCTCATAGGTTCACCAGAGTCTCTAGAACAAATGTGCCCTTGGGTCTGTCTGACCTGGGCATGCTTTCTTTCTTCTTTTTTTTTTTTTAAGATTTTATTTATTTATTTGACAGAGAGAGAGACAGCGAGAGAGGGAACACAAACAGAGGAAGTGGGAGAGGGAGAAGCAGGCTTCCCGCTGAGCAGGGAGCCCGATGCAGGGCTCGATCCCAGGACCCTGGGATCATGACCTGAGCTGAAGGCAGACGCTTAATGACTGAGCCACCCAGGCGCCACAGAGAAGAGCATGCTTTCTCTTTTCCTTTTCTGATAATCAAATTGACATATTCCAACTCTCATTTTTTTTTTCAAAACTCTCCTTCTTCTGCACTTCCCACCGCCCCCCAAGTGTGTGGAATAAATATATGAGTTCAAAGTATTTGCATTCATTTGTCTATAGTACTTCTAGGGTGATGCTGGAAGACTTGTTTTTGGGTGTTGGGAGAAACGTGTCTGTTGGAGTTGCTTATAGCCCACTAATCCCGCCACATAAACGTGTCCTGCATATAGCCAGCCTGGTTTAAAAGTTCAGGGCCATTTGTGCTCAGAAGATAGCTTGGTATGTCTATATAGAGAAACTATTTAAGTATCTTAGGAAAGTAGCAATTTTTAAAACATTCAACCCTGGTATTGCTATACTAGAATTTTAAGAAATACAATTTTGTCCTGATATCTGAGAAAACCTCTACACACCAATATGATAGCCTCTGAGATGTGTTTTTTGTTTGTTTGTTTGTTTGTTTTTCTTAACTGCTGTTTGGAATGGAAGTATGTATCTTTTTTTTAACTTTTTCATCTTCCTTATCAAATGATGAATATACCAGTCCTAGTACCTCAAAATCAAGAAGGAAAAGAAGTGAGCTAGATATTCCGGCCTCCTAAGGATTGTTGATACTACAGTGTTCAAGGTGAACAACGATTTTTTTTAAGGCAGACTGCATCTTAAGAATCTCATCAATTATAAGGGCTCACTATAGCAGATAGTCTCCCATAAATAGAGGCAAATGTAAGAAGAATTTCATAATCTTGGGAACAAGCTTGAATATGAACAGTCCAGGGTCAGGGCATGGAGGCTGAGTCATGTGCCTTTTTCACACTCATCTCCTTTGCCAGTTGAGAATCCACAGTGAGCAGTCAGAGGAGAGGCAGATCTGGACAGTCTGTTCATCTTGGGATTGGCATTCTTTCTCAGAGTCCTACGGATGAAGGCAGCATTGAGCCATGTGGGAGAATGACAAACAAAACTCACATCTACAAAGCTTTTCAAGCAGACAACATGCTAATGTCATGGGATGAAAGAGTCAGTGGTGAAATATCAAATTTAGGTAACATAGGAGTGGGGTGAATTTCCCTGAAAAAGGCTAAAAGCAGGGGTCACAAAGTCTTCATGCAAAAGGCCCCCAGTATGGGGCTATGTGGGTAAGGTAGTCTAATGACTTCATACGAAATGTGGTTTTTACAATCAAGATTGTACTTCCAACTCCTAGTAGACGGACCAAAGACAAAATACTAGTCCAAGTAACTGGACTAGTCACACACACTTGGTCAATGCTCATTTCTCTTCTTCTAGGGAAACATTCGGAATATTAGAGCACATGCTAGAAAATATCGTGCTTGATTAACCAGAAAATCATGACAGCAAAAAGTTTAAGGAAAAAAATCAAGAGAGGGAAGACTAGTTGCTTGTGGACACACCCTCGATTCCATAATGATTAACCCACTAAGTTTCGAAGAATTTATAAGTCAACCTCAGACACAAACCTGCCAGAAGGCGGGCCTTGACACATACTGAACTTGAGCATATGGTCTCTTAGTAGTGTGCTCAGCTTTGGGAATGTGTAAGAAAATAGGCCCTGATAATTAAAACAGCACATTTGTTTATAAGCATAACTTGATCTGGACATATTGCTAGCAATTTTAGCCAGCACAATGTTTCTTTCAGGACTAATTATCGATCTGAACTTGAAACATATTCTAAATGATTTCTCTCACTAATTCAGGAGAGTAAATGCTTTCTGTCGGGTGATGAACAGTTTCAAAGTTCTCTCAGATCATTCTGAATCGTGTAGGTGGAAATCTGGATACACAATTACACTGGAGACAGTCTCCTGCGGTAACTCTTCTTCACTAATCAAGTAATTTGCATTTCAAGATATCTACTTGGACCCATAGGAGAAATGATGAATCTGGTTTTCAAGATCATGTGCTTTTGCCAATTCTCTGTCATCCCAACTTTTGCCATTTTCATTACTGACTGTATAGACATGGAGGCATTTCTTTTAGATACCTGGCCTGAAGCAAATGTCTCCAAATGTATATCTGTGAGCTAGCCATTGGGGGGAGAGCACTGCAGAAGGCATTACCCTTGTAGGATGAAAGTCTAACTAACGGAATCACAGCAGGAGTGCCTCAGAATAAAACATCCACAAAGAGCAAAGCAAGGAGGACAATAGCTCTTCCAAGAATTGGCAGGCATTCGGGGCGCCTGGGTGGCTCAGTCGTTAAGCGTCTGCCTTCGGCTCAGGTCATGATCCCAGGGTCCTGGGATCGAGCCTCACATCAGGCTCCCTGCTCAGCGGGAAGCCTGCTTCTCCCTCTCCCACTTCCCCTGCTTGTGTTCCCTCTCTCGCTGTGTCTCTCTCTGTCAAATAAATAAATAAAATCTTTAAAAAAAAAAAAAGAATTCGTAGGCATTCTTCTAAAAAAGTCCCATGAGGCTTTGTGAGAAGACACATTTCCTATTTATTTGCAATCCTTGATTCTAGAAATATATTGGGGTTTACAGCATGGATAAATAGCTCAAATCATCTCAATCAAAAAGAGCATGAAAGTAAAACCAGCTCTAACTCACAGTTTGAAAGATGAACACCTCTAACTTAACTTTCAATTGCCACGTGGTATGTCATAAAATGATGGCAAAATGTTTGCCTTAAGGTCATGACTTCAGATCATGTCGGGAGACTGATCATGAGGTCATGTGATGCACAGGTCTATACCTGGGCTTGGGGGACTGGTAGCCTGAGCGACAGTTTATCCTGGAACATAGAGTCAAATCAGTTGCCATCTCCTGGACAGAAAATGTTTTCTATACTTTAAGCTCTCTGACAAATACTTTAATACTTAAATGCCAATACTCAATATTAAGGCGTTATATATTCTTCTACAGTGAGTGCTCAGATTACAAAAGAATGTTCTCCTTTCATTCTCCTATTATATAAACATTATTCAATACCTAGATGGTCATTTGACACTCATTTAAAAACCTATTGCATTTGTACTTGGCTCAAAATAAGGTGCTGATTAAAAAAGCCACTTTCCACCCCCTAATGCAGATAGATCCATACACCCCAAAATGCAGCAATGAAAATTGATTTTCTGCCACATATCATGAAATAATCAGAGAAATACAACATAAAGCAAATATTTACCCCCATGGGGAGAATGAAGCTCAGTTTTCCTAACGGACATCAGCAAAGTCCATGGTTTAAATTACAGATTAACAAAGGACTCATGAGCTCAAAATTAAGTTATTCTGTTTAAAATCAATCACTGAAACTGTCATTCTGCTTATTGCTTTGACTTCCTAACAAAGGTTTAAATGAAGACTTTATGTGCCAGTAGAGAATGGCAAGAGATCTGCTCTTTTTCAGACCTGCGTGGGCTGGAGGGGCAAACGTTTAGGCTATTAATGTAATTAGAATGAGGAATGTATTTTTCCAGGAAAAAAAAAATCTTTACCAAAAAAAAAAAATCCCACCAATCCACAATTAATCTATTATCTGGGGTGGGGGGAGAATGGTAAGGAGTAGAAGGTGGGGCACATTTAGAAAGCACTAGATGCATTGATACCAGAGCCATTCTGGAGGCGCCAGGCAGGAAATCTGGAATTACTCTAACTTTTCTTTGCAGAGGCAGGCACCAGAACTGGGGAAAAGGGTCCAGAAAGAAGATTGCCTTTGCTAACAAAGTACATTCAGGTTGTGGTGTTGAGAAAGAGCATTTTTGATCATTCGGCTTCGTGTTGGGTCACCACTCCAGCGCTGAACAGCTCCCCAATGGCCTTGTCATTGTATCCGAGGACCTCCCTCAGGATGTGCATTGTGTGCTGCCCGAGCAGGGGGGGTGGCCTGGCCTCTGACATCTTGAACTTACTGTATCTCACAGCTGGGCCTGTCAAAAGAGGAGGAAAGCAGGAAGCCTGTTAATGACTAACCCTAGGAAATTCATTCCCCAAGCAGCCTGGGGTGTTTTCAATGAATGCCAAGACTATCACTGCCAGTTACAAAATGGTGGCGCATTTTGGAAAGAAATGTATTTTTATGTGAGGTTTTCTTGACTCGGTTTCATCCAACTGTGCTGTGGTCATCTGACCTGCCCATGCGGGGGAGCGGGGGGGTTGGGGGGATATGTATGTGTCTGGCGTGTGCCAGCCCATGCAGAAGTGGCCAATCCTGTCACCAAGACTCTCGGGGCTCAGTCACTCAGCTGAGTCGACCCTCTGGATCCAAAAGAACAAGGACCACAGGTACATAGTGTCTCTCTGTGCTGGAATCTGATCCAGGTGAAGGTAATCTGGATGTTTTTTATTCAGTGTCTCCTATATAAACTATAAGGTTTAATTCAACAGACCACAGATCAACTAAAGCTCTGCTAGACCCTGCTGAAGACTTTTGGTGGGAAAAGAGGTGATATGTGCGAGTTTCGTCATCAGGGAGATCTGGGTTTGCATGTGCAGTGCAAGGGGGAGGGGATATTCATTCAGCTGTTCACAGAGCACTGAGCCACTGTGCACAGGGTAACTCAAGCAGGACTTTCAACAACTGTTGGAAATGGATTTTATGATCCTCATTCTTCACGGTAAGGACACGAAAGCCCCAAAAGCTCAAGTTTTGCTCAAGGTCACATGGCTAATAACTAATAGCACCGGGACTCCCATCCACGTCCATTGCAACCGTCTTGCACTCTCTATAACCTTAACAGCCTGCTCTTCCTTCTCCAGTTTTCCCCAGAGAAGCTGTTTGGGCGCCGCGGAGCATGTTGTTTCAGCAGATTTTTACCTTTGCTGCCTCACTCAATAAATGGTATTTCTGTTGGCTGTTCTTCACATCTTATTTGATTAGGCTTCGGGAAAACAAATTAGATAGTCACAAGAAGACTACAAAACAATGCATTTCTATCTCATAAAAATTTTTCCAGCCTGCTCCTGATTTGGAGTGCACAGAGGAAGGACACGCAAAACCAAAGCGCATGTGGGTAACACAACGTCAGTGAGTAGAGCAGCAAATGTGCTTCAAGCTCTTCGGAGAATTCCATGAATAAAAAGTAAGCCACTGTTGATGATAGAGAGGACACAGACCTCTCCAGACCATCAAGCCACACTTTTGTGTGACACACACCATCCACGATGGACAAATGGAAACTTTCAACTGATGGTCAAAGTTTTGCTTCTTTCTTCTCACCCTTCTTTTTATTGTTTTAAATTGTATTTTTTACTGAAGTAGAGTTGACACATAATGTTACATCAGTTTCAGGTGTACAACACAGTCCACCCATTATGCCGTGCTTCCCATAAGTGCTAGCTGCCATCTGCCACCACACACACCGGTGTGGTACCACGGACTGTGTTCCCTGTGTTGTGCCTTTCATCCCCCTGACTTGTTCATTCCATAACCGGAAGCCCATACCACCCACTCCCCTTCACCCATTTTGCCCATCCTCCCCCTTCCCTTTGGCGACCACCAGTTTGTTCTCTGTATTTATGGGGCTATCTCTGCTTTTTGTTTGTTTATTCATTTGTTCCATTCTTAGAAGCTGCATAGAAGCTCACGCTTCCTTCTAAATGCCCTAGCGCAGACTGCTTTCTCACTGGTCCATCTCTTTTCAGTCAAGGAGCACGCATTGGGAGGCAGGGCCCACTACTCTCATGAAAAGGTTGATAATTTGATGTTTTAGGCATGTGATCCTTATTCACTGCTCTCAGAGTGGGTTCCAATTTTGACATTAATGAACAAGTTTTAATCTAAAATGTGTCTTTCAAAAGAAGGATGTCACTGAGAGAATCAATGTTATGTGACTTCTTCCTAACTGAATGATCTGGAGTGAGACTCCCAGCTGGGAAAGAGTCAACTACACAGAGAATCTGGGCTGGCCAATGCTGCTGGGAATATACTGCTGGTGGTCCCAGCACGGCAGCTGCCATTTTGTCAGAACTTAAGGTGCATTAGCTACTGAGCCATCATGTCCGAGAACCGTCACAACAATCCCAGATGGACACTGAAGGTCAAGGAGGCTTAGGGTACAAGGGTCAGAGTGAGGGTTCAGGTTAGGGAATGAGAATAACCTGCCCAACATCACCCAGGTGGGAAGTGAGAGTCAGTTCCCAAGTTTGTTGGGTGCAAGAACTTGGGTTTTTAAACAAAATAATAATTTGTTAAGGTGAAGTTCACATAACAGAAAATGAACCATTTAAAGGTGAACAATTCAGTGGCATTTCATATAGCCTCAATGCCGTGCAATGACCACCTCTATTTAAGAGTTGCAAGACATTTCCATCACTTCAAAGTCAGACTCTCTATCCCTGAAGCAGTTTCCCTCAACTCAGCCCTCCCCTGGAACTCCTGGCAACAACCACGAACCTACTTTCTGTCTCTGGAGTGATCTATTCTGGATATTGCCTATAAAAGGAATCATACAATATGTGACCTTTTGTGTCTAGCTTCTTTCACATAGCATAATGTCTAAGATCCATCCACCTAGCAGCATGGATCAGTACTAAGAACCTGGACTTTGAGCCTCGATGCAGTGATGATAGGAAGGAATCTTCAGGTCCAGCCATACTAAAGGGCAGTTCAACTTGTGTTACTCCCACTATACACTATGCTTTCACAGTAGCTTCCAGATCTACCCCAAAGACTCTGCTACCACTTCCGGATGAGAGGTATTTAACATTTTATGCAAAAAAAAGTCTTATTTTTTTATAAAGATTTTATTTATCCATTTGTCAAAGAGAGAGAAAGAGCACAAGCAGGGGGTAGTGGCAGGCAGAGGGAGAAGGAGGATTCCCACTGAGCAGGGAGCCCGGTGCGAGATTTGGATCCCAGGGCCCCGGGATCATGACCTGAGCTGAAAGTAGACCCTTAACCGACAGAGCCACCCAAGTGTCTCCACAAAAAAGTCTTAAAGAATTTAGAATGGTATTACTAACTACCATTTACTGGAGTGGTATTATTAACGAACTAGAATGGTATTCCTTGGTTTTTAGACTTGTTAGCATAAAGGCACTTAGAAAATACTGTATGTTTGGAAAGCCTATGCTTCTCTAAATAATTGTATGTTATTAAAGAAGCCATATCACAGTTTAATAAATTGTATATGCTTTTCCCTAAGCCCCTTCAGAAACCAGGTATTTTGCATATGGTTGAGTTCAGAAAGATTCTGAAGCTGGGGTTCGTTCGTGTAATTTAAGATCAAAGTATAGTGTATATATGCCTGTACTGTACTGGGAATTTTCAAGTTGTAATTTTTATACATTTTTAAAATAAAGTATTGTTTTGTCATGTGGTTTATTAAGAAACAAAAATTTATAGTCTCTGTAATATATATATATATGCAATGGGACAAATAAAGGTGATATCCAGATCCCAGAGAAAGCTAAGTTCCAGGGACATCCCTCCCAATCTAGGTTTTGCACAAAGGGAATAAAGTCCTTTTAAAATACATTTGTCTCAAGAAGTACAAAATGTTTGACATAATTATTTACATCTAAGGTCCAGAAAGAATGAATAATTTGATCTTCCATTAAAAAAAGATGAGCAGATAAGTCACATGTTCTTAAATTACTTTTTGGCAAAGTCACGTCTATGTTCACATATGCTTTCAAACACTTGCAAGCTGTGTGATCTTGAGAATTCTTAAAGTCCCTGAGCCTCAGTCTACACATTTCTAAGATGAGGTTGACAAACCTACCGAGGGTTGGTTTGAGCATCTGAGTAATATAATATGGGTGATATTCAATATCAGTAATAATCAAAGAAATACATATGAAGATAATAATAAGGTACAATTTTGTTTATAGAATTAGCAAATCTTGTGGCTATTTTGGTTTGTTTTTAAGAGGTCAGTGACTGGTAGGAGTATAAATCAGTACAGTCCTCCTGGACTAATTTGTAACTAACTATGAGGAGTTTTAAAAGTGTTCCCACACTTGAATGGAGAAATTCTACTTTAAAAATGTTCTTCTATGGGTTTAATCAGGATGTTGACAAATTCCATAGGCAAGGATCTACATAAATTTCAAAATATACTCAATACTCTTTTAATACCTATCTCCTTCCCACACAGCTTTCTAACTTATAGGCTGTAAGGGTTCTTTGTGTGTTATTCTGTACATTTTTTAAAAACACTCTTAGCTTCCAAAAGTTACTTTGTTAGGACTAGGTGTTTACCAACACATTCCTTCATATACTGTGCCCATAGGTCTATCTCCTACCCCTTCCTTCCAGATGAAGAGGTCACATAGCTACCATATTGAAAAATATCTGGAAAATATGTCCAAAACTTAAGCACTGGTTAAATAAATTACAGTGCATTTAAATGATGGCAACCTGTCTGTACAGTAATTTCAAGTTGTATTTTGGGGTGTTTTGAACACAAATCACTCTCTCCTGAAATACCACTGACATAAAAGTTTAGAAGTTAAACAAATCAATATAAAAATTCAGAAGTGAAGAGAATGGGTGGTAGCATCACTAATGAATGAGATATTTCAACAAATTTAAGAATGACATGGACAGGATAGGGAGGGGGGTGGGAGGATGGGTTGGCCTGGTGGTGGGTATTGAGGAGGGCACGTTCTGCATGGAGCACTGGGTGTTATGCACAAACAATGAAT